AGCAGCATCACGTTTTTCTGTATTTGTTATATCTTACCTCCTTTTGGGGATAGAGTTGGTTATTTTCACTCCAGATTCTATAGTTTTTAAAGGCACTTAGAGCAGAAACTAGCCAGTCATTACTTTCAATAAAAGATGTCTTTAAAATAGACAGTCATAATCTGAATGCTTGTTTGTTTGCTTTCTACTTTCCTCATCTCTTTCTCCTTTTCTCCCTCTCCCTCTCCCTCTCCCTTGTTTTCAGACACATGACTGTCAGCTGCTGCACAGCAGTGCTCAGTGATAATGAGGCATAGTGTTAAAGTAGTTTCTTTCTGGACCACTGATGAGGGACCTATCAAAGAAGTGTTATTGGTTCCTAGTCATTCCCCAAAGAGGACATCTTTTTTTTTTTTTTTTTCCATTTATTTTTATTAGTTGGAGGCTAATTACTTTACAGTATTGTAGTGGTTTTTGTCATACATTGACATGAATTAGCCATGGATTTACATGTATTCCCCATCCCGATCCCCCCTCCCACCTCCCTCTCGACCCGATCCCTTTGGCTCTTCCCAGTGCACCAGGTCCGAGCACTAGTCTCATGCATCCAACCTGGGCTGGTGATCTGTTTCACCCTAGATAATATACATGTTTCGATGCTGTTCCAAAGAGGACATCTTTGAAGAATATTTGTTTTTGCTATCTGGGATTAATAGTGAGATAAGTCTTAGAAACAAATTTGAGGGGGAAAAGGATTGCTGAGGATATTAAAGAGGGGTTGCTTGATAGGAAACATAAAATTTATTTTGATGGGGAGCAGGTGAGCAGGTGAGCAGATAGGAAAGGCATATATATTCTCAAAAGAATGGATTCTTACATTATGCCTGGTTTTTTGATACTTGATACTTTCTAGATGTGTGAGTTCTAACCCAGCCTTAATAAAGACTTTTTAAAGTATTTTGTTTAACTCTTCAGAATTGTTTGACTCTTGGCACTACAAATTTCCATTACTAATTGCCCTATTCTCAAAATTTGGGCAGTTACTTTCCTCCTACATTTTTGGGACCTGTGGGGCAAATAAGCCAGTGATTTTTTTTTTTTTTTCCCCTGAAGTTTAAGAAGACCTTTCTGATGTGAAGACAGACCTGTATTTATGGTGGGCAGCAGTCCAATGTGACCAAAGCCCTCTTGCTGCAGTCTTTTTTTTTAATGTCTCATTTAAAATATTGAAAAGTAGATTTAGAATGAGTTGAGTATTTTAAAGTGTTCAGAATTATGTGCTCTCTTTTTTTTTTTTTTAAAGATTTTACATGTGGTGAATTTAATAGCTTTGTCAGTTAAGTAATAGATTAGTATTCTGGGTTACTGACCTAAACAACTGAATGTGAATTTAGCAGGGTGTAGGGAGTGCTCAAGGAGAAGGCAATGGCACCCCACTCCAGTACTCTTGCCTGGAAAATCCCGTGGATGAAGGAGCCTGGTAGGCTGCAGTCCATGGGGTCGCTAAGAGTCAGATATGACTGAGTGACTTCACTTTCACTATTCACTTTCATGCATTGGAGAAGGAAATGGCACCCCACTCCAGTGTTCTTGCCTGGAAAATCCCAGAGACGGGGAAGCCTGGTGGGCTGCTGTCTATGGGGTCACATAGAGTTGGACACGGCTGAAGCGACTTAGCAGCAGCAGTAGCAGCAGCAGGGAGCGCTCAGAATTTATGACTCTGTTATCCTGCCTACTTGCTTTTTCCAGGTAGAGCTCACAGCCTGAGAAAGAATATGTTAAATTTCTGGTCCAAAATTTGTTTTCAACTACCCCTTCCATTCGTGGAAGCCCTTTCAGTCTGTCTAGGGTCGTCATAATTCATCTGTCTTTGAGTGCTTCCTTGATTTTTGGCATAGAGATTATGTGGCTTTTACATCATGTACAAATAGCACCTTCACTTCCAGTTAAAATACTTAAAGTTATGTCAGCTTTAAAAGATTCCTGAAATCCTGATGAATACTCTTGAACTCTAAAGGATGGATGGAAGAAAAAGAAATGCCAGTCAGCAGGGAGCCTATCAGTTGTCTGTTTCTTATTCCCTGAGGATAAAAACACCTAGTACTTAATCATGTAGTCAAACTAGACTCAAAAAGCACAGGTATAGTGAGATTTCCCACTTAATTACTGGCAAGGAGATTATTAATATCCGAAAGGAATCTTTCCACTAGAATAGTCAGCCCTTAGCACCTTCTCACTTTGCCTTGACAAAGCAGCAGCCTTTTAACACATAGTACACTTTATACAAAAAATATAGGAACACAAATTTTTCCCAGCCCCAATGCTATTCTAAGGTTAACTCCTTACTGACTTTTGATGTTTGTTTGTTTTTTCTGACTTTTGATGTTTAATCATACACTTAGTTCGAAACTTAAAATATTTATATTGAAATCTCTATCCCAGTACAAAGCAAAATTAGATGAATAGCTTCATAAGTTACCATTTAAAATGATAAGCAAAAAAGAAGTGGAATTGAACGCAGAACTGACTAGTGGAACATTCATTTGGAATGAATAGCTGTGGCCACAATAAGTAGAGTGCAATTGTGCCTGTGTATCATGAAAAACAGAGATCTAAGGAAAAGAGTCATTTGTCCCGTATTTCAGTTTCGTAAGCCATACATCAAAGATAAGTTGTATTTACTGAAAGTACCCAAGAGATCAGTAGTACTTTGCCTTTTTTGGGGGGTTCACATTCATCTGTACCTGCCTCTGTTTTTTCTGGGTAACCTCAGATCACCTTCTGCTTGCCTGGAGTAATAAAGTGTCTGTTTTTGTCACAGGAGGCATTGAATTTCTTTCCATCCTCAGTAATACCCATCATAGTGTACTATGCTTATCTGACTGTGCTTTGGGTAAAGTACTCCCGTATTCCCAGTTTCTTTTTGGCAGCAGACTTAGAGTGAAATACTTCCATTACCTTCTTTAATTCCCTTTCTTTAAAGTAGCAAAAACTGCAGTTTAGGGAAATGAGAAGATAATGTCATAATAGATGAATTTTCTCTTGACAATTAAAGTATCTTTTTTTCTGCTCACTCTTCTTTTTACCTTTCATGTAACAAATTTGATTATTTTCTTCTGGTAGCACCAGCTTTTCTTATTTTTCATAGTAATACTTAAAACTAGATTTTCTGAGTTTTTTGACTGATTTTTCTTCAGGTTTTTGCTTCCTTCTTGTGACCCTTACCTGAGATTCATCAGGTCTTGGTCCGAGGAATTTCCATTTTTTCTTTTTCGTTTTTCAGCCTATATGTCCCCATTTCTGAAGTATTAAGAGTCCTATAGGTGCACACTCACACCCCACACTACCAGAAATGAGTTCTGTGTACATATGTGTGTAGTTCCTATCCATGCTTCGACTATTACAGAATAGTTCTACTTTGATGTCCTTATTGTTATCACCAAGATCATCTATGATCCAGAGTCAGCATCTTCTGCCCTAAACCGAATTCCCTTTTCACTTTTTTTCCCTTCATTTGGTCACTAGTCTTTTCTCTGATTTCAGGGAAAATGCTGTTTAGATCTTGCCTGTTGAGGCAAGTCAGCATAAAAGCCAAAGAAATGAGAAAATGCAGGATTGCAGAAATCTGTTGCTACTGATCTCTGAGCATGATTGTGAGGAGAACGCCTGGAGCCGTTGGCCAAAAACCTCACATCTGCTGATGACCACAGCGCTACCCATAGCTACCCCCAGAGAATAATGACTTCTACTTTGACTTTTTTTTTTACTTTGACCTTTAAAATTGTGTGTAATTATCTTTCACTGGTGAATTCTCCAAATTGGAGTCCTGCTGATAAGGTAGTCTGGGAAGTGCATCTAGCCCTTGCCATACAGGAAAGGATTAAAAGATAGGGGTGTATCAACAGGCAATATCAAGCTCAGTTCCCTTAATCAGAACAGATACAGTCTCTTTGACTCAGAATTGTGGATCCAGCAGTTTCACTTCTGAATATTACTTAAACAAAGTCATTATCTTGAAGATTTATCTGTTGCCCCCATGCTCAGAGCAGCATTATTTGTAATAGTTAGACACAGAAACAAACTTAATGTCCATTGACGAATCAGATGAGTGTATAAAGAAAATATGGTGTAAACACACACACACACTTCCTATAAAAGTCTTGGGTATGTAATGTGTAGCATGGTGATTAGACAGGAAGCTTATATACCTTATTTACCAGTCTTCCCAACTTTTAGAAAAGAACCTGACACATAGTAATTAATATTTATTGAATGGATATCCATGAGTAAGGGGTTGATCATATGGTGTATCTTCAAGTATAATTCCATTGAGCCCAATAAAGCTATGTTTACATTGGCTTAGATGTCTGTTATAATTTTACATGATGAAAGAAAGTGCCACAAAATGATCCAAACAAAATGTTTGTCAAAATTACCTACATATTTTTCTTTACTTAGTTAACATTAGGGGAAATACTAATAACAACCTGGGATGTTTGATGGGATAAATGTGTTATATTTTCATATTTGAATGTTTTAATAAGTATATATATTTTAATGAATATAGGTTTTAAGAAGCAACTCGAGTACCTTGTTCCTTTATTTGGGACCTTTTAAAATATAAAATGGTATTGGATAAAACTGAAGAAACCGCTTTTAAAAATTCTTTTTTTGTACTAAAAGCATATGTAAACACAAAGTTACTTGCTTTTTGAAAGCAAATCTGGACGTGTTTCTGTCTTCAAACATAGAGATTTATGACAGTCTTTTTGATGAATACATAATATTTCATTGTATTGGCATGTACCAGAATTTATTTACCCAGTACACAAACTCTTCTCATTAATTTTTTTTTTCTTACAAAAGAAAATCATTTAGGGAGGAATGTGGCTCTGTCTCAGTAAAAATGTTAGCAGAATAGTACATTTTGTTTTGAGACCTGAGCTTTAGTATGTATTTATTTCTCTGTTTCATTGTATAGTCTCCTTTGATGGTTTTGGTTTCATTCCTGTGTATTTCAGGTCTGCGTATCAATGGAGAACTAATCACTGCCTACCCACAGGTGGTGGTAGTGAGAGTACCAACCCCTTGGGTGCAGAGTGACAGTGACATCACTGTTTTGCGCCATCTAGAGAAGATGGGATGCAGGCTGATGAATCGACCTCAAGCCATCCTGAACTGTGTTAATAAGTTCTGGACGTTTCAAGAGTTGGCAGGTCATGGTGTTCCTCTGCCAGATACTTTTTCTTATGGTGAGTTTACTAATAAGACTTTATAGCCTCAGTTTTAGAGCACTGATAGTATTGAAAGCCCTACTAAACTGATAGGGTTATGTGATACAAGGAAATTTGTGAATGTGAAAGAACTACTTATAGAAGTGACTTTAAGTTTTAACAGACTAGGCAGGAGAATTATGAGACTTATCTTTGGTATGGAGAAGGAAATGGAAACACAACCCATTACTCTTGCCTGGAAAATTCCATGGATGGAGTAGGCTGGTAGGCTACAGTCTATGGGGTCACAAAGTCGGACACGACTGAGTGACTTAACTTCACTTCACTTCTTTGGTATAGGTAGAATGGACTTATCAAACTTTTTCTGTAAAGGGTCAAATAGTAAATATTTTTGGTTTTCCAGGCCATATGTTCTCTTTTGTGACCCTCAGTAAAGCTGTTGTATTGTGAAAGCTGTTGCTGTTGTTTTATGTTCAGTTGCTAAGTCGTGTCTGACTTTTTTGTGACCCCCATGGACTGTAGCGTGCCAGGCCCCTCCTGTCCATGGGATTTCCCAGGCAAGAATACTGGAGTGGGTTGCCATTTCCTTCTCCAGGGGATCTTTTGACCCAGCGATCAAACCCGCATCTCTTACATTGGCAGGTGGGTTCCCTGAGCCATCAGGGGAGCCTGAAAGCTGCAGTAGACGAAGCTTAAATAGTAAATGTGGCTGTTTTGTAGTAAAACTTTATTACAAAAAGGCTATGAGCCAAAGCTGTGTTTAATTTGACAACCCCTGAGGTAAAAGAATCTGATAATCACTCTATAGTTTCTGATTCTCTTCATTACCATTTTCATGTTAATGCTTCATAAATATTTTCATTTTTTTTTTTTAAGAAAATGACACTAGATATGCTTTAAACCATTGCTTCTGAAGTCATCTGTGGGAGAGGACCGTTATTTTTATTTTTTACGAAAAGAATTTACTGTGGCTTTCAATACTGTAGTGCTCTAAGCCAATTTACAGTACATGTAAAGTACTGTAAAAGTATCAGAACAATGCCAAATTATTTTCTTGTGTTTACTCATATTTTTCTGAACACATATCAATAGCAAAGAAGTCACAGAGGCGGGGGTTCCTGGACCACACTTGAAGTAGCACTGTTACAAACATTGTTGTGTTAATATATTCCTGACTTTCCAGTTCTTCTAGTTTTAAAGAATCAGGCTTACTATAAATCACTGTAGTTTTTCATTAAAATGTCCAGCCGAATGCTTGAAAAGTTGGAGAGGCTTTAAAAAGAAATTACTGTCCTCTTGTTATTTTTAATATTTTAAAGAAGGGAATTCTGCCAGTTTGTATGGCATATGTGGAAACCATTGCTCTTTTTACAATTGCACAAGAAAAGACAATATGAATAGTTCTTACTTCCTAACAGTTTTGAAATGTTATGGCTTACCTCATCAGTCTACAGTACTGATTTTAAGAGAATGGAAAGGAGCAAAGTATATTAACCAAATCCAGCTTAAAATGTGGATACTGGCTAATCATAATTTCTCTTAAGCTACAAATTTATGATGTTGCAGTTGTTTAATGAACTTTTCCTAGTCTGATTATTCTGTCATCCATACTGATTTTTTGCAACTACAATCCATTTTTGCTCTTCATCATTTGTTTCTAGGCAGTATAAATAGAAAGAACAAGACATAACCTGCAGGTACTGAATAGCTCATGATAGAGTGAACTCTGCTTTATAATCGAGAAAAGAAAAAATAATTTGTGTATTTGATAAGAGCAAGAGCACACACGCACATGCATGTTAGCATTTTTTCAACTTTGGATGAGTCTTCCCCACTGACTCACTCTTCTATTTCTTAATCCAAATAGAATGCTGTATACTAAAGTTGATCTTAGGGCTTCTATTACTTGTGTGGTGGAAGAATAAAGGATGAAGATATGAAAAATAGAACTTCCCTGGTGGTACAGTGGATGAGAATCTGCCTGCCAATGTGGGGGACAGGTTCAGCTCTTGGTCTGGGAAGATTCCACATGCTGCAGAGTAACTAAGCCTGTGTGACAGCTCCTGAAGCCTATATGCCTAGAGCCTGTGCTCTGCAACAAGAGAACCTACAACAATTGAGAAGTCCTACAATGAAGAGTGCCCCTCGTTTGCTACAACTAGAGAAAGCCCACACGCAGCAATGAAAATGGAGTGCAACCAAAAATAAAGAAATAAATTATAAAAAATGAAAAATGTTAATGGAACTAGGAAACTTTGTTTTAATTTCTTTAATTTGGATATTAGAATATTTATAGTTCAATAGTTTTTATCCATTTAAAAAGGAGTAGTTGTTTTAAACTGATAGTTAACTGAAGACAAAATTGAGCCATAAGTTCTTACCTTCTACCTTCCTTGTCTTGCTGACTTTAGATAAAATTTATCATAAAACACCTCTGCTGCTATTCTTAAATTTTATTTTTTGCTCAAACCAGGTGGTCATGAAAATTTTGCTAAAATGATTGATGAAGCAGAAGTACTGGAGTTCCCAATGGTAGTGAAGAATACACGGGGTCATAGAGGTGTGTATGAGTTGTTGCTGTTATACGTAATATTGAAACTATTCTTCAGAACTTCTAAAGAATTGTAGGGAAATTGCTAGGTGCGTGGTACCTCAGACTTGTGGAAGGCTTTTGTGAGTTACTGAGTTCTGCTGGAAGCTATTTCTGTTCATTAAGTGGTTATCTTGGACATTTTAAGATGCATACTTAATTTAGACTGAGTCTCAAGTTAATGATCTATCTTTCTTTTAAACAGTTCAAGGATTCTAGATCACTAACACCATTATCCCCATCCCAATTTATGTTGTTTGAAAACATTATATAAAATATCTTAACTCTGGATTAAGTAATGTAAAGGCGTAAAATGATTCATAAATCCAAGTACTTCCAAGCTATAGTGCCTTGACAGATAACTGGATGAGGGTTCAGCTGGGACTTCAATGCACTATTTCTACCTGATTTCTCCAGTCAGCTAAGAAGTCTTGGGGCTCCTACAGTGACTGTAGCCTCAGAAGTCAGATAGAATTCCTTTTTCTGTATTATGTTGGTTGAAGCAGTTACATCCCCTCCTAGATTCAAGCAATGGGACATAGATTCCCCTTCCTCTTAATGAGAAGACTGTCAGAGTATTTATAACTGTGTTTTAAAAACAGACACTTCTATTGGCACAAAAGTAGTAATATACTGCTATCTTACTAAATGCAAATATAGTATCTTAATATTGCGTAATATATAAAATGTATGTTTAAAAAAATATATGTTTTAACTCAGAAAAATGTTTTACTGATTAAGTGAGGCTAGTATTATTGGCTAACCTGAAGGAATAAAATTCATAAGAACCCAGCCTCACCACATATACCGGAATAAATTCTGTTAAGAGATTGGGGAATGAGAGAGTGACCATAGGCAACTGATTCTGAGAAAGTAGATTGGGACACAAGAAGGTATAGGTAGCAGATATCAACTGCTCATAGTCTGATGACATCCTCATTTCTTACTCTTTTTTTGGTCACAGGCAAAGCAGTTTTCTTGGCTCGAGATAAGCACCATTTGGCTGATCTAAGTCATCTTATTCGCCATGAAGCTCCATACCTGTTCCAGAAGTATGTTAAAGAGTCTCACGGAAGGGATGTACGTGTCATTGTCGTGGGAGGCCGTGTGGTTGGCACCATGTTACGCTGTTCTACAGATGGGAGGATGCAGAGCAACTGCTCACTAGGTAAAAGCAATGCAGGAGGTTTTCTAGGATATAAAGGAGTGTTATTTAAGCTTATTCAATGAGTATTTGTATATAATTCCGATCTTTTTACTTAATAAGTTGAAAAATGTATCTTTCACATGTAAATATGATTTATAGACTTACCACGAACATAATTTATGTATGTATAAATTTGCTTTCACCCAGGCTCAATTTGTAACCCAATTCACGCATGTATGAAAAGTCTACCAGATTCCCTCTTTGGTTTTATATTGAATTGGCCAAAAAGTTCGTTTGGGTTGGTCTTACAGAAAAACCCAAACAAACTCTTTGGCCAGCCCAGTATTATTTTCTGTATAATTGAGGTTCATTTAAGCTGTGACCTAAACTATTTAACTTGTTGGTCCAGATAATATTGCTGATTTTCATTTGTTTAAATGTATATTTTCTGAGATGTTTTATTGTTGAAGTGCCTCAGTGCATAGTCTGGGTGTTTTCCTCTTTATTTTACTTTCTTACCTAGTAATCTTACCTAGCTTGTGGCTTTAAATGCCACTTATATGTTACTGTTTTCAGTTTTGTTTTGTTTTTTCAAATTTCTCTCTCCAGTTTAGGCATTCTTCTTCAACTTGGGCACACATATATCACTGCTTGTCAATAGTACCATATAGATAACTGTTAGTCTCAACCTGTCCAAAACTGAACTCCCTATCTAACTACTTCCAGTATGTCCCACACACTGTTTTCTCCTTATTATTTATTGGCAGCTGTATCTTTCTAGTTTAGACTAAATCCTTGGAGTCGTCCTTGATCCCTTCACTAGTGTAAGACTTCATATCCAGACTCCTTGAAATCTCTACTCTGAAAATGCACTACCTTTTATTCCCTCTGTCCCCCAGTGAGAGGATTAGAACAGTCTTACTTTCCTTCCTGCTCCCCTCCTCTTGATTCAGTTATTCACTGAAGAAATATTTTTGAGCATCAAGTACTGTTTTAACAGTATTTTGTATATAACATTGTACAAAACAGACAAAAATTTCTGCTTTCCTGGGCTTAATATTCCATTGTTCTGGTGAAACCATTAAATAATTTTAGTTCAGGTATGGATTAGAATTTCTTTTATTGAGTATCGCTTCTGTTTCAAGAGTCTTTATATAGTGCTTACTTTATCCATTCCCAGGCTGTCTTTATCTATTTACAGTTAATTATACCCATATTGGGGCTTCCCCAGTGGCTCTGTGATAAAGAATCCACTTGCAGTGCAGGAGATGTAGGAGACACAGGTTCAATCCCTGGGTCGGGAAGATCACCTGGCGGAGGGCATGGTAACCTACTCCAGTGTTTCTTGCCTGGAGAATCCCATGAACAGAGGAGCCTGGTGGGCTACAGTCCATGGGGTCCTAAAGAGTCGGACATGACTGAAGCAACTGGGCATGCACACACACATACCCATATTGCAAGAATTGTTACTCATCACTGTTGATTCCCCTGCTGCTCCTTCCCATATCTTGAGTTTTCTAGTCTTAGTCATCTGCTGTTAATATCTTTTCTAGATTATTTTCCCTGGATGATGTATGTGAGTGATAGATACCTCAGAGCCTGCTTTCTTTTTTAAGAGAGAATGATATATTGGCTGAGATAGGATTCTGAAATTGCAAAAATCTTGCTTCAGTTCTACTGGTTTGTAGTTTGTGTGTGCATACTCAGTCATGTCCGACTGTTCGTGGACCCATGGACTGTAGCTTGCCAGACTTCTCTGTTCATGGAATTTTCCAGAGAAGAATACTGGAGTAGGGTACCATTTCCTCCTGTGGGTGATCTCCCCGACCAAGGGATCAAACCTGTGTCTCTCATGTCTCCTGTATTAGCAGGTGGATTCTTTACCACTAGCGCCACTTAGGAAGCCCACTTTATAGTTTACACTTTTGAAATTGAATGTCCAAATCTGCTCTGATTGGGCAGCGGGGTGAAATGGGGGGTAGGTAATATATATAAGTTTGTTTATTTTGTTTTGTTCTCTTATTTTTGGTGGTTTTACTTGGAAAGCTCAATAATTTTGTTAGGATATTTTTAGATATGTGTGTCTTCTCAGTCTGTCCAACCTGGATTTTAGTAAGCTGTTTCTATCAGACCTACTTTTTTTAAGCCTCAGGAAAACTCTTCTTTCCTTCTTGGGGAGGAGTTTTTCTGATTTAGTTACTAAATTTTTTATGTTTGTGGCTTCACCTCAGTGTTTTTGTGTGTGCTTCAAAATATTTCTTAAGCTAGATTTTCCAAGTTATAAGTTATACTCACAAAAGCAACTCTCCTTCATTTCTGCTACGAAAGTTTTTAAGTTGGGTAGTCATTTTTGTGTTAGTTCAGAGAGTTTTTTTGTGCTAAACTTGAACTTAATACTTTTCTTTCTTTCATCCAATTGTAGATGGCTTGTTGTTTTTGTTCTTGTTACTATCCCATCACATCAGAGCTCTGCTCTGGTTATTTGGAGCATTGCAAATGGTTTCAGAGCATTAAAGATCCATCAGTACTGTGGATGCCGAGAAGCAGCCTTTAATTCATTGGCTAGTGTGTCATTCCCTTACTGAGTTACACGAAGCCCTCCTATTTCCTGGGTTTCTCTCCCTTACTCTTCCAGCCTCACTGGTGGTGGTGGTGGTGGTGGTGGTGGTAGTTGTTGGCAGGTGGGGAGGGGTACCTGAATCCTACTCATGTGTACATTTACCTTTTGGTCTTTTTGGGGTCAAGCAATATTCACAAAGTCGTGAGGTCAACTTTCCTTCTGTTGAGCTCTTAAAGCCAAGGTTTTGTCAAAGTTCTTTTGCTTTCTGGTCCTTATCTAAAGCTTCCTGAAGCTGGTCACCAAATTAGAAAATCTAGTTCTAATTCTTTTCTCTCAGTTACCAGCAAAGACTTCCCCTACACTCAGCCAACTGCCTTAAGCCCCAGGATCCTTTCAGCTTAGGCATGACACATAGAATAGGGGCTGTCGAGCAAGAGAACCTTGTTCCTCGATTCTATTCTCTATCTCTATTACGCATCTCTGTTATTTTTACAAATCAAAATTTGGAACTGATAGAAACCGGCAACAATATTAAATAGTTTAACTGTATTTTTGCAAAAGTTCCGTGTTATTGCAAGTAAGATAGGCTTTAGTCAAACTTCATTGTCTTCAGAAAACATAACATATTGAAAAAGTACTCAGTCATCAATTTGTTGAGACTGACTTGGAAGGGGATTCCCTAATGAAGGAGTCTTAGACTTTAGAGTCCCAATTTTACATTAGCATAGCACTTTTGTTTTTGCTATTGATTTAGAAGATTTTGAAGAGATGGTTAACCTTAGTGGGCTTTACTTTTAAGGTCTGCTTTAGTTTTACTACAAACATTTATCATTTGGTAACTTTTTTTCTCTTTTTTTCTCTTTTGCCAGGTGGTGTCGGGATGATGTGCTCATTGAGTGAACAAGGGAAGCAGCTAGCTATCCAGGTGTCTAATATCCTAGGAATGGATGTGTGTGGCATTGACCTGTTGATGAAAGATGACGGCTCCTTCTGTGTCTGCGAGGCCAATGCAAATGTAGGTTTCATCGCCTTTGATAAGGCTTGTAATCTAGATGTAGCTGGTATCATTGCGGACTATGCCGCCTCCCTTCTGCCCTCTGGCCGGCTCACCCGGCGTATGTCCCTGCTCTCCGTGGTGTCCACGGCCAGTGAGACTAGTGAGCCGGAGCTGGGTCCCCCAGCCAACACTGCTGTCGACAACATGAGCGCAAGTTCCAGCTCTGTTGACAGCGACCCTGAAACCACCGAGCGAGAGCTGCTCACCAAGCTCCCAGGGGGCCTATTCAACATGAACCAACTGCTAGCCAATGAAATCAAACTCCTGGTGGAGTGATTCCACCGGTAAATAATTAACCAACAAAACCCTTGTAAAACTTTCTTTTTCTTCTTTCCTTTTTTTCTTTTTTCTTTCTTTTTTAAACCAACTTGCAATGCTGTTCATGAAAAATGCTCAGGAAGATGAGAAAATTGAGTAGGAGTAGTTAGGAGGGAAGAAGTGGGAGATAGACATGATCTCTGCTATTAAGATGTTACTTTTATTTACAAATGCTACAGATAGAGAGGCAGAAGAGGTGAGACACAGAAAAATGTCAGACTCTTGTAGTTACTCTTTTAAGTTACTCAGAAATGTGTAGGCTCCCAGGCCATGAAGATCATAATTTTTCTCATGGTCCCTTTTGTTTTTGTACAGTTGGTACAAATTTCACAGGAGTATAATTTCATATTGTGTTTTAATGGATGAGGTAAACATCCACCTAAATTATAATTTTTCATTTTTTAAAAATCTGAAAATTCAGCCTATACACTATTAACTAGTAGCTTTATCTTCATATTTACGAAATCCTGAGGGACTCTAAGCGACTTTTTTCAACCCTTGAAATGGGTGGGAGGGCAACGTGAGTGTGACCCAATAAAAATTTCCTTTAATGACAAAATTGGCATGTTTGCATGATAAAAGGGAAATGAACAGTATTGCAATGTCTGGCACACAAAATAACATTTACTCCATTGTAGATAAAATTGCACTAGTTAAAAATATGTGCATTGACTTGTATTTGTTAGTGTTTTAGCCTTTTTTGAAAGACATATGCTCTGTTAATGTTGCATTTTTTTTAATACATGCTAGTCTTAACATTCCCTGATCTATGCCTGCATCTTTAACAATGGCCAAAGTGAAGAAAATGCTACCTTTTTTGTTAACAAGACACTGACTTGAAACATGTGCATTTAAGCCTTTTATTTTTTCCTTTTTTCTTTCGGTGGTTGGGCATTTAAAGAATAAGGACAAAGAAAAATATTTTGGGGGGGGGCAAATCAAGGGCCTATAAGTTCCTGAGTATAAAATTGAAGTGATTCCATCATTATTTATTTGCATTTTTCACATTTTAAGAGGGAGTTGTGTGTATGTGTGTGTGTGTGTGTGTGTGCATGTGCTTACACACGCATGCATGTTTATGTGTTTGCTTTTTGTTTACACCAACCAATCAAAAAGGATAGATACCAGAAAATGGAGCATGATAGGAAACACAGTTTTTTACTTAAAAAAAAAAACAGTCGAGTTGTTTTCATAACTGTACTCTGCTGGGTAGAGGTACTCACCTGAAGATATGAGGAGAATAGATGCTTTTTAGGCTTTTGTGTATATGTGTGTTTGCTTTTTTTCTTTGATTCTAGACTGTCCAGTGTATGATTTATTCAAGGCTACATGCTTTCCCTCTGCTTCTTGCTGTGCATTTTTTCCTGTTACACATAGATTTTGGGGTTGGGTAGACTAAACATTTTTTGTTTGGGGACTTAGAAGTCTCTTATAGCCCTACTCTGAAGCCTTCAATATTCTCTTTATATTTCTTTATTTCTGAATTCATAAAAGCCCCCAAACTGCATATAATATGAGCCTTTAAACATAGGAAACTATTCCAACGAATGGTTTGGAAGGTGTGTTAAGAAGTAGAGATGCTCCAGAGCTCAACGTAATTTTTTTAAACAGCAAGTTCCATCTCCCTACAATCCTCTGAAGCTTTTTACCCAAGTCCTTTCTTGCCTCTCCAGTGCTTTTTTTCCTTCAGATGGACCTTAAAACATAATTTCTTGGACACTTACTAGAGAGACTTCAAGGCAATAAGATCAGTATTAACCAGCTCTAATGGAGGTTTGATCATGCTTACTTGTACAGTTTTTCCCCCATTTAAAAAAAAAAAAGGAATGTAATAAAATTTGTTTTCTTTTCCATAGAATTAAATAATATTAAAATGGAGTGAAAGGTTGATTGTTGACAAATAGAATAGTACCTCTAATCTGTGCAGTGTCTCATTTTACCTTAGAAAAAGATGTGTAAGAGGAGTTTCTGGTTTACTTGAGGATATTCTAATCTCATCTAAAAGAATTTGACTTGTACAAGGTTATCTTGGGACATATTGTGGCATATATAAGTACCGCTGGCTCACTTGGTACTTCTTTTACTGAATGACCGTACTTTGGAAGATGCACACTGTTTGGGATAGAGAACTGAAAAGGGAGAACATTTAATTAAATCATCATTCATATGTATATAGAGACCATCTGCTTGCCACATAGATTATGACACATACACTTTGAATAGTTACATATCACGTGTATATAGGTCAGTGAATTTTAAAACACAGATAGGACACCCTCTCTATTTGATGAAAAACTCAAGGTTTCTGTTGGATGGGATAAGGCACCAGGAAAGATGTAGGTGTAGCCTTGTAAAATATTATCAAATTGACCAAATACATTAGAAAAAATATCTGAGATTATTTCACTGTTACTTTTGCTCACTATCTATCTTTTGTGCATTCACACTCTGTTAAGACATAGCCTTACCAACCTACTTCTGGATCATACACTCATATGTTAGAATGAGAAGGGCAAGGGTGGTCATCTTAGAGTTAAAGAACACAAATGTCCTCTTGAATTCTCTCAAAAAAGTAAAAACTATGAACAAACCATACTGGAAGAACCCAAATAAACCAGCCCAGATATTTAAGTGAAAGTTAAATATATTTTCATATGGTTTAGTAAATTCTTAAAATCTTTATTGCTATTATGAGAGTTTAAAATGTGTATTAACCAAATATGTATAGTTGTTATCATGCGAAAATCTGAATTATTGTAAAACTATTATATATTGTTAAAATTGTAATTCTGAATTGTATTTAAACATAATTCTTTCTGATATTGCTTTTATGTCACCCATGATGAAAAGCGGACTATATATATATATACACAAACATACAGATTTGAACTATTCCATTTAAAAGTTTTAATAGTTATTTTCTTTTGATTGGTCATTTCTGCTGGCTTTAACTCCACTGAACTTTGAAATATTTCTGAATATGCTATCAAATAAGAAAACATCCTGGAATATTTAGGAAAAAAATCCATTGAGAGACTTGTTTTCATCGAGCACTTTATCAGACTTTTGAGAAGATACTGAAGACATTGAAAGAAGTCATTGACTTTCATGATCATCTCTTCTTTTTCACAAGAAGAAAACAAGGAAAAAGAAATTCTCTTCCTTCAATGAATCCCCAGTTTGGGGTCTGGGGCGCTTAGAGACGTTGTGCAATCCAATCTTGTGTTACATTTTTCTCCTGGCTCACTCACTCTTTTTGAGAAGGTTTATGGGCTATATGGCTGGTGAGACACGATCCCCTCCTAAGAAAATGTAGGTGCTCAGACAGGTAACCTCTGCTGCTACTGTTTTTATTTGTTTGTTTGTTTGTTTAATTTCTTTTAAAGTTTGTTTTTGTTGTACTAGGATATTTTTTAATGTAATATATTGCAGGATTTATAACCAGGTACTGCTTTCTTTCTTTCTTTTTTTTTTTTCCCTTAAAAAACGAAACAAAACAAAATTTCATTTAAGATACATTTAGGCGCCTTTGAAGCTTGGATTTTGGACTGTTTCAGTAGTGGACAGAAATCTGCTGTTGGAATCTCCTAGTCTTCCAGGTTTAATTTGAAATGTTTTTAGTTTTGTTTTGGATTTTTGTGTGGTATTTTATTTCCTTTATACCAATTGCCCTTTTGCCATGCTGTTTTGGGGTGGCTGCCTAACTCTAGTGACAATTCTTTCTACATTAACGAAAATGTGGTGTTTTGAATTCCATAATGTTTTGCATTTTTAAAATTGTTTTTAAAGAAATATTCTAACTGCTTGCACTATTACTGTTCTTTGCCAGCCTTTTCAGGAGCCAAAAAAACAAAAACAAACAAACAAAAAAATACCCAGAGAAAAAACTTTCCTTCTTCCCCCTTCCTGATGATGAGTGAGAAGTATTGAGAACTTTCGGGGTCAGTGCCCTTCTAAACTCCCCTTCCCCCAATAATGCAGCTGTAGAGTGAATGGTAAATGCAGCGGTTTGGATTCAGGCACAACCCCAGCCTGCTGGCAGGTAATTTGATTCTCCTTTTTTTTTTTCCATCACAAGGCTAACCTTACTTTCTTTTTAAAAGTTCCTTTCTTTATGTACTTTGAAGGCACCCATGGGTTTGTAATTACTTTCGTTTCAAAAAACAATGTGTAAATTCGTCTAGCAGATAATTTGGTTATAGAAAAACCTTTGGGGGTAAAGTTTGAAGTAGTTGGGAAGAACTCAGAACTTTCTTGGGGGATTTGCTTTAGCCATTTAGATCTTTCCGTTTCTTGCATATATGTCTATGATTATTTCAGAGTGTGACTTTTTTGGCTTTGTTTTTGTTTTGGGTTTGTATGTTTCTTCCATTGTGCTACTCTGGCTTAAGCTTTTTCAGAGGTTGGTGTTCCGAATACACAGTGAGCTCACAGTATAAAGACATCAATTAGGAGTTGACAGGTATGGAAAACTAGAGTTTTGAAAAGGTAAAATTAGGTTCTAGGTTATATATATGGTAAAAACTCACCATAGCCTTCAGTTGACCTTAGTAGTGCTTCTCTTTCTGTGACTTCATTATAGAAGTGAAAGGTAATGAGACCAAGATAATAGATAGTATTTATTTCAGGAGCAGCATGATTTCAGAAGAAATGATTTTAGTGTTTCTGAAACACTACTTCTCACAAAGAGATTGATGTCAGCAGACATCATAAAATAATAGTTTAAACATTCAAAAAGGTATAGGTTGAATAGGTTGTACTTTGAAGCACAAGATCTTGAAGCAATTTATTAATTCCATGAAGCAAAGTTAGTGGTAGAAATAGGAATATAACTTAGCCATTTTAACAGCCTTCCTGTTAGTAAATATACTATCCCCTTCTCTGTCTATCCCAGTCCACCTACCCTTTTCCTTCTTTTTCCTGTCCTTCCTGAAGTTTTAGCTCTAATATGAGTTTTG